CCATTTGATTGCCCAATAAAATGAGATTGGAGCAATGCAGTTGTAGGTTGTACAAATGATATGTTATTAATCGATGCTGCAAATTTAGTTGTATTAGTAGGACCTTGACAAGTTTGATTTTTGTCGCAAGGAGTTGTGCCAAGGCCTACTGTGAAAAAGAAATGCTTGTCAACATTTTGAGGGACTTTAGCAGGAAATTGAGAATTTGCTAAACTGCGCAATTTCTTACTAAAATTGGTAGCAAAAGAAGTGTCATTTAAAGGAGGTAAAGCAGGCTTGAACATGGGAAGTTTCTTCATTGATTTGGTTGAATGAAGAAGTGGGGATTCATATTCAAGAATTCCAGCAACAGTGGAGTTGTCAAAAGTGCCTTGGCCAGTAACATAAGGTCTAGCAGCCATGAGAAAAGTAGCACTAGGGTATTCAGATTTGGTTTTTAGAAGAACATTTGTGGTCTGTCCTGGTGTTATAAGTATTGTGTCAGTCTCAAAAGGTTTAACATATACTGCATCAGCGTCGACTACTGTGAGTGTATGATTTGCAATGCTGAAGAAAAGCTCATCATTGAGTGCAGCATTGATCATACGAAGAAGGTATGTTTTTCCTGGCTTAACCTTTAGTTTGAATGTATCTGTCACAAACCATTTATAGAACATTAGTCAGAATAATGAAAAATAATAGTACTAAAAAGTTCGACTACCATACATTGATCACTTAAAAGTCAATTACAGGTAACTTTCTTTAATAAGCATGGATTGATAACCCAAAAAAGATGGTGAATGACTTGTTACAACCTACAAATACTATAATGGTTGAACAAAAAATTGGATGTTATAAGTACCTTTTGCAGAGCAGTTGTACAAGAGCCCGGGAAGGCCATTGATAGTGTAAGCATCAGAGACATTTGGACCTCCACCAGTTTGTAGAGCTTGACTAATGATTGCTTCGGGATCAGTATTAAACCATTCTCCTGAACATCGAGAAATTAATTTTTGTAACTAATATTAGGAATAATTTTAGATGGAGAAATTTGGATCATAAAAATTAATTTGATATATTCTATGTGGATGTTTAATTGAGTACCTAAGATGATTGGAATTTCCTTGAATGGTTTGACAAAAGGGTAGGATTCATTTTTCTTTGGAAGGATAATTATAGGGCCATAAAGAGTAGATCTTAGCCATGAAATATGGGCATGCCACCACAAAGTCCCTCTTTGACCAACAATTGTGTAATTGTATACATAACTTTGGCCAGTTTGAATAGGGCATTGTGTTATATATGCAGGACCATCTGCCCATCCACTACGAAGCTGTCTCACTCCATGCCTATTCAGAGAGACAAAGAAAATTAAAGAAATTGGCCCTGGAACATTCAAAAAGTAAAGATAACTAACTATACGAATAATTAAAAGAGAGAGAGATCCTAGCTCTTTGAATTTTGTTTTTCTAATGTTTCTTTGAAATAGCTGACAATGTAGAAAGTCTTAACTTCTACAGGTTCAATATGTTATGGGGTAAAAGAACTTTTATACTACTAATTAATTAGATCACAAAAAAGATAATTATAGATAATTGTCCTTAACAAGCAAGATCAGTGACTTAAAAAATAAGACAGGTAATATGTTGCTACAGACCGATTGTATAAATTAAGTTTAATCCATGTAGTAAGGAAGCAAATGGAGTAGAATCTAATTAAGGCCCAAAGATTATACCAATGAATGGAAATATTGTTAGGAACATGGTTATTGACTTTAATAAGGAGACGATCACCCTCCCTTGTCACAATACGAGGCCCTGGGAATTTTCCATTGACTGTCACTATACTCTTAGTATGGCACAATCTAGTGACATTTGCCATTGTAATCTGCAATAAAGATTCAAATATGTTAGCAAGAGTAAGAAAAATATGAACATTTGGAGTAAGATAAGTAGAATGAACTTTTGATATTATACATTGAACTCATAGTGTCTGGTGATGGCTTGTGCAGGCTGAGGCATGAGACATAATGCCAGAAAAGCAATAATGAACATTGCCATAGGAACTAATGATGGAAAAGTACTAGAAAACCCCATCAATTTTTTGTCTGATCTCTTCCTTGAAATTAAATTGAAGGGTGAAGATCAGCTTTAGATTGTAGTATAGTTGGATGAAAGATAGCTCTAAGATTGATGTATATATAGAGAAATATTGATGGGGTGCTTGGTCGATTAGGTGATGAAAATAGTATAGCTTAAAGAAGAGAAATCAGGAAGAAGAGTTCAAAATTTGCACATAATCTTTTTCTAAAATTGACCAACTGTTGTTGGAAAACAACTTTAGAGTGAGGTCAAAGACAATCTAGCTCTATTATAATTATATATTTCGCTGAGGTTCAAAAACTTTCCTTCGTCGTGATGTTAAGCTTGCATGATATTGACAAATTTTTCATATATGCGATAGCTACTGCATGTGTGCATGGGTTTGTTTTTTCTTTTGCTCTGTTTTAATTTCCTCTTTGTGAAAGTAAGACGTCTAGCCGAGGGTCAATTGAAAACATCCTCCCTACCTTCACTAGGTAGGCATAAGGTTTGCATATGCAAGACCTTTTCCAGACCCCACATATAAAAATATATTCATGTTTTTGTTGGTGTTGAAAATAGACGTCTACGGGTTTAGTAATAAAAAGGTTAAAAACTGCATCTTTTTACCCTTCTCTATTCTCTTGCAAAGTATAATTATTAGAAAAAAGTCATAGTAAAGGGTAGAGCTATAGAGTTAGCTATGAGATCACGCAAATCCAATAAATTTTACCGATCCTTATATATATATATATATATATATATATATTTACAAAATATTTATGTCATTAATTTTGAACTTAGTGATTACTACTGTATCTTAACTTGTTGTCGTCGTAGGAACACAAACTTCAAATGCTAAATTCACCCCTCACTAAGATATATATTTGTCAGTGAGAATTATAAAGAGAACCATCTAACCAATTAGATCTCAACATTTAGGCATATTGATACATATGCTTTTTTTCTTGTTAAATCATGGGGTTGTAATCTTACCCAACATATAGCGACTAGTTCATTGCTAAACTGGGCACGTGGTTATGTTAACTAAACGTAGTTTAATAAAATTTAATCTTGTCTATTCCATTCCAATTAAATAATGTTATAGAAATGTGCGTATTTTCACTCCGAGAGTAAACTTTAAGCAAAACGTTATCTGATATTTATAAATGATGAAGGGTAGAAAATGACAGTACATTGAGTGGCAGAGCCACCCTATTCCAAAGGTGTCATTTGACACCCCTTCCTGCATACCTAGTTAAATTTCTTTTTAAATATAAATATGTTATATTGAATCTCTTTAATTTCTTCGTATATTTAGTTTTTTATATTTTGACACCACTTAGTAAAAATTATGGCTCCACCATTGAGTACATTGACTGTTTTCCAAAAAGTAAAGGAGTAACTTATTATTAAAGTCGAATGACTAAAATTCATTTAAATTTTAAAAAAAAGGAGTAGAAAAAATATATTGGTGTATAGTAAGACACGTTAGTGATAAATGAAGTGAAGAAGCTGAAGTCGGTGAAAAAGGGGTTTTCATTCTTTTGGTATCTCACAATCCTTAGTAGTTAAATGGAGAGAGAGAAGAGTGTAGGACCAATTTGGTATGTTAAGCTCTTTTATGGCAAGCAATGACAGACCAGCTTTTGCTTCATTCTACATCCCTTCGTTCCAATCCAACGTCTGACTAGTGACTATTCAAACTACACCAACATTCCATTCACTCCAGCGGCGGATCCAGTATTTTAGATTTATGAGTTTATATGACAATCTCAAATTAATAATAATTAAGTTTATTGTGAAATATTTATAAATATTTAATAAATTTTTAATATATTTACAATGTTTAAACAAAAGCTATTGAATTCCCTAACATCCCCACGGAAGAGCAAAGGCCAAAAGGAGAATAAACGAAGTAGGTAAATTACATAAAATTTAACTTTTTACATCCAGGCCAAATTCACCTACTACATTCAGCTCAACTAGAAAAAGAAACAGACAAAAAGGATCAGCTATCCGGGGCAGAGCTAGCCCATCAGTTACGGATTCAGTCGAACCCAGTAACTTTGGTCCAAATTATGTATTTGTCTTATGAAATTCATTAATTATGTACTAATTATTAATTTGGAACCAATAATTTAAAAGGATTATAACTCCGAACACATAACCTTCAAATCTTGGCTCCGCCTCTCGACTTATGTTCGATGGGAAAAGCGGAAGAAGCTTTCCCTACGAGTGTACAAAAAGATCGCTGCACAAAACCACATTTTCTAAGTTTCTCCTGTGATGGATACATGGATTAATTTGGTAACACAAACAATAGACACATATAGAATTTTGCGCTAAGTGATGTTGATATGTTATTACAATCTGGTTTGTAAGTGAGTTTGTATATATGAGACTCGTGATTTCAAACAGCCTAAGTATACATATTTATTTAGAAACCAGGAGTATTATTTACACGTATATTTAAGAGATATTTTTTGTGAAGACATGGCGAATGATTTTATATACTACGAGCATATTTGGAAGCAAATGTTATAATTAGATTTGGGTATAATCACACTGGAAAAGGTTGTCAGCGGCGATGAGTACGTATATAGATTTTCTCATATGGACTATGGTGGATTAATTCCTTAAGAAGGTTCTAAACACAATATGTTATAAGTTTTTCACTTAAACCCAATTGACCAAAATGAGTACTTTTTTTTTTGTTTGAAAAGTAAGCACTCATTTTCCAAAAGTTTGAACAAAAAGGCATAAAAATGTGTAATCGAGAGATATGAAATGAACAGCAAGGTTAGGATGATACTTAAATCCTATTGACCAAAATAAGTACTTGCTCAAGTAGTTTCCTTCTTATCTCATAAACAAGACGAAATTAACGATTATAGCAAGATAGAACCACTAAATACAATTAAATGATTATAACACAGAGAAGATAAATCTTTGCTTGATTAATTAACTGCTAAATCATGAGGTAATTAACAATGTGATGGAGCTGAACTTACAATGATTAGATACAACAGAAGGGGCTCAAAGGGCCAAATCAAGATCTAATGTCCTGTTAATTACAACTTCTATTTCATCATCACTCGAGGGATTCTCTGGTTTTCTCAATTGGGAAAACTATATAACGTAGCCGTTCTAAAAAATAATAGCCGACAAAATGTATCTTTTTTGTATATTCCCAATATATTTTTGGTATATTGGAAAAATTACTTGTATATTTGCTAGCCGATGCAATTATTTTGGCCAGCCTGTCAAATGTGTAACTTGCCCTTTTCTGTTTCCTTACAGCCTCTCCAACTTTGATATTTGGTCTATGCTTTTTGACCGATGCTACTGTGCATAGTGTACAAGAAACTTTTGATAATGGAAGTAAGATTGTGGTTTCTGTCCATTAGGTCTTGGAACTAGTTGGCCATGCTTGTGACTGCAGAATATGTGCCAATAACAGCAGAAACTACTCCCACCATTATAATGGAAGTGCAAGCTGCAAGCTAAATAATACAAAAGGAAGAAACAATATACTTTTAGCATATCTTGGGGATGAAAAGAATTATTTTCTCTAGCTAGAAAAATATGGAGCAAAAATATACCTGAAATCGTGTGATTCCATCCTTGCTTAGTTTAATGTAGCATGCACAAGGAAGGATCAGAGACTGAGACAAAGCAAGCAAAAGAAAACTCCATGTTATTATGATTCTTTTGCTAATTAGCTTCACATTGAAGTAACAAAAAAAAAAAGGCAGCCCGGTGCACTAAGCTCCCACTCTGCGTGGGGTTCGTGGAAGAGCCGGACCACAAGGGTCTATTGTCCGCAACCTTACCCTGCATTTTTGCAAGAGGCTATTTTCATGGCTCGAACCCTTGACCTCCTGGTCACATGGCAACAACTTTACCAGTTACGCCAAGGCTCCCCTTCTAGCTTCACATTGAAGTAAAGTGAAATTACTTTGGTAACTTACCACAAGCATTACTAGTGAAGATCCAATCAATGACATTACAGAACCTGCAGTTGAAGTTTCAAAAAGAAATGTATATCTTAGTGGTAAAACGGCTTACTAATTTATTTGTTACAAGTGCAAAGTATTAGAAGAAAATAATTACCAAAATATGGAACTGTTAGTGAAATGACCAAAGTTGAAAACACCAGAATTGTTCTTATGAGGATCGATACACCATAAGTTCTAAGCTGAGGTGAAGGTAAGAATTCTTCAATACCAAACGCGACTGGTGTAATTGTTATGGCATATTTTGTTACAGGGGTTAAAACCTGCACAAAACACAGTTTTAATTCCAGATATTTAATGATTTCAGTCCAAGTTTTTAGGTTGCATTTCAAGTGAACAAAAATGAGAAAAGTATAGACTAAAGCGAATATTATACTTACCACTGTCCAGGCTGCAACTTTTGAAGTAACAAGTTTTGCTGGCAAATTCAATGTGAACTGCGGACTGGTGTTTTCACCAAACATAAGGAAGCCACAAACTGCTACTCCAAAGTACGAAAAGAAGGCGATGGAAAAGCTGCATCGATATGAACCAACACAAGTTAAATATTAGGTCTTCAATGGGCAGATGTACATTTTTAAACAGTAATGTATTAAATCACCTTATAAGAAGAACAGAAGGAAATCTTGAAGGTTCTTTCATTGATGAGTAGATATTCGGGAAAACTGAATGGCTGCCATAGCAAAAACTGTATAGACCAATTGTGACGGGTAATTTTGCAATGTTTAAAGCTGTTCCACCTGAGTGAAATCCAACTTCATTGATCGCGCCAACCCATAACAAGCAAAGCACCACGACAATCAGTGCGACCACTCCACCAGCTGGAGTTACAAGCATGAGAATTCAACACGTTAGCACAAATCGAATAGCTTTGAACTAATTTTCAAGACATTTTGAGGTACTATATAATGATTAAAACCTGAAATGTATGACAGCAAACTGAGGTTTCTTAGCCAAACTGTTGGAAGTATGACAAGGGTAGAAATGATAGCACACATTTGATAAGAATCCAGATGAATTCCAGCAAAGACCATGCGAGCACTTGGGAATATTGCACCAAGATTGTCACTCATCATAATCAAATACTCGATGCAAGAGGACTGCAAAGAAGAAAAGATAGTTCCAAGGTATAGACAACAGAAAGCAGTAGAATGAAGCAGAGAGCGAGAATTAGTAAAATATGGACTATTTACACTTACATATAGTTCGGCGTATAAGGCTACCTGCATTTATTGAAAAAACCAATGTTAGTAGCTAAATGAAAACCTTCTTCTACTAATTGAAAAATCATTAGTCATATGCTCTCAATATATACTCACAGCTATAAATATTCGACCTAGCATTCCAAAAGCAGCTTGTCCGATATCAGGATAGGTTTCAATACCAGGAGAACTGTCTAAACATTTTTTTAACAAAATTCCAGTGTAGAAAGTAATGATTCCAAAAAGTAGCAGCAGGAAAAGGCTACACCATCCTCCTTCTTTGAGTGCATAGGGAGTCGAAAGTATTCCTATGCCACAGAGAGCATTTATCGCTGCATTGAAAGATCAATCCACATTAGAACAAACAGGAGAACTGAGAGGAGATGATTAAGTACTTTGGAAACAGATTTGGCCACAGGAAAAGCAGAACACTACATTAGTACCTATAGGACAACAATATGCAACAAATACAGCTCCAAGATATGTAAATGCTTGAATTACACAGGATGATAGGCTGTAGATTCTTTGCAAAATGCTTTAGTTCATTCAGCAGAAGGAAGTCTTATTTTTCTAAAGTTTAGTTATGCAAACACACGGTAAAGTAGTGCAACAAGAAAAGGGTAGTCTTTAGACTCAAATTCCCAGTAACAAAATTGCGGGACAAAAATAGGCCACTTTAATAGTAGAACAATAAGCACATAAACGACCAGATAAGAAACATGTCTTACCATTTAGCACTGATTGAGTATAGGAACACTGCTGTGATGGTGGCAATTCAAGTGCTGAAAATCTTGCAGAAGAGACTACAGATAACCTTGTTGGATGTGTTAAGGTTGGAACTTCTTCCTTGTTTGAGCGCGGAGAGGAAATTAGAGGTTTACAAATTGAAGGTTGAGGTGTTGGAGTAGTCTGAGACCTCAAGAAGGAGCTACCCCTTAAAAAGCTGAGTGAAGGAGGGGTCACACCTGTGAACATGTTCATTGACTGCCTACATATTCAATAAAAAAATTCAGTCTTCATTTAGATGAGAAGAGTAAATAAATTTCAAGTAAATTCACAAGAAGAATGTCAAGAAGACTTTTAACCACAGTATATGTGCACAGTGAAAATTGGCCAAACAAATACATATAGGCATGCCTAAGAACAATGTGAAATAGAGAAAAAGATTAGCAGAGTAATTATGTTCTCTTTCAGAATGGACTTTTGTATCAGAATTGTGAAAATATACTTTCTAAAAAATTTGAAATATTAGAACTCCAAAAGCACATGATGGATTTATCAACCATTCACAAGTTTTTGGCTTATGTAAGTTAATTTGTCAGACAAGTTTGTATGTTATTGCTCTGCAAAAAGGTACATTCAGCCTATGGACTATCACCTATTTGTAGACCATACAGAACTTCTTGAAGAACATGAGAAAGCTAGCTAATATGTTCACAAATTCAATAACAAATTGGCTAATAGATGTTTCACTTTCAAAAATAACAGTGAGGAGGTGTATATTCTAGAAAGTTGGGATCTTCATGGATAGAAAAAGATTGCAGTCAATTTGATAATAATTAAATGGCATTGCTTCTTCAGCCCGAACCTAAATAACAGTGAGGAGGTGTATATTCTAGAAAGTTGGGATCTTCATGGATAGAAAAAGATTGCAGTCAATTTGATAATAATTAAATGGCATTGCTTCTTCAGCCCGAACCTAAATAACAGTGAGGAGGTGTATATTCTAGAAAGTTGGGATCTTCATGGATAGAAAAAGATTGCAGTCAATTTGATAATAATTAAATGGCATTGCTTCTTCAGCCCGAACCTAGGAATCCCTTAGATATATATGATGCAAAACGGCTTAAGTTCTGTCCTTGATCAGAGATTTCTATATGAAAAATATGGATCGGACACCAAAACTCTTTGAATAATTTTTCACAGCCATTTTCTCATAGCTAATTGAAATTCAAACAGTGCATTCAAAAACCATAGATAAATAATCAAACTACACTATCTAGTTTCAAGATATTACGTAAGACACTAATATTAATAAGTAGTGATTAGAGAGTAAAATCTATATACAACAGTACAACACAAGTTTAAAGACTGATCACATAAAAGCCTAGTTATACAAGTCACTACTCATTTTTTCTTATAAGTTGGTGTCTAAATCAGCTTCCATACACCTCGACTATCTACCTACCTTGTTATCTCCTACCAGCATATGCACCAGGTAATTTTGTGTACCAAGTCTTATGCATATGGAAAAGGGATCTCACTATACTTTTTTTTCTTTCAAAAAAGGTAGTGTCTAAACCAGCTTGCTTGCACCTGGACTATTGATCACCGGGTACTTGCTATTTCCCATCAGTGCATGTACCGTGTGACTTTGCCAATTAAATCTTATCCAGATGGAAAGAAATCACCTAACGTTTTTTTATGCTAAGATTTGACTCCAATGGTATTTACACCCTTGAGAGGTATTACTATTCATTTATTTTACGTGCATGAAAACAGCAAAGGAAGGAGAATCAAGAAATACCGATAACTTTGAGGCCAAGTAGGAGAATCATGAGGTCCAATTTGGCTATGAGATGGCTCATGTACTGGAGAGTGAAGGGTAGAATCAGATCCACTATCATCATCGTCTTCAATCTTGTAATCATCAGCCTCATTCTCTTCATCGTCTGTTTCAATTTGTAACACCCTATCTGCTCCAAATTCTTCGTCTAATCTCATTCCCATATCTAATATTCTTGTTATTTAATGTATTCAATCATGCAAAAAATAAAATCCTTTTATTACCATGCAAAAAGAAAAAAAACAAATTATTTACGTGTGTTATATATGAAACAATAGAACAAATCTGTAAAAGAGAAGCACAAAGGGTTGTGAAAGAGAAAAAGTGAGAGATGGAGATTGAGATTGAGATTGAGATTTGAGAGTTGTGTTTGGTTTCGTTTTCTTAAGAGAACCTAAAAAGAAAGATTCAGTTTGAGATTTGATTGAACGACAACAGCTGTTTATTCCTTTTTATTTAAGGTTAATCTTTGTACTTGGTTACGGCAGCCTAGGTAACTTATTAAACACAAAGCTATCTTGAGAATAATAATTAAGATAAGGATTACTGAGAATAGCGTATCAAGAATAATATGGAATATCTTTTAAAAGGGAAAACTTAACACCAAATAAATTATCACATTTACAAATAAATGCACAAAGTATATATATTCATTTCATCCCATTTTATTAACACCATTTAATTAGGCATGAAGTTTAAAACATTACTTTAGCTTGTATATAAGTAGAAATTTTAAAAAATTTAAATTTATAGTTCCAATAGTTAATTCCATAGAAAAATATCACATTAAAAGTTAAATTGATTTGTTAACAGGTTCGAATTATATTCGTCAAACTTCTAAAAGTTATACTTACAACGTAAAAATGGGAATTTTATGCAAATATCCCAAATAAGTTCCAGCTTACCAACCTCTAGCAATTCATCATAGACTTATCAAAACTAGCCAAGCACATATAAAAATTAAAAACCCAAATAAAAAAGGTTCTTTCTCTCCAAGAATCACATGCAAAGATCTCCTTTTATATTTTAAGCGTGATCAGCAACATTAGATGCAAGAAAAAAAATTCCATGGATAAGGTAGCAAACAAGGTGATGAAATAGAAAAAAAAAATATATATANTTCATTGAAAACATATAAACGAGTCAATATACAAATTTTGAGGAAGATTGGAGGTGATTTGTATTAAAATTTGTAGTTAAATTCGAGTTCAAAATTTTTTCTGTGACACATGTATTACACACAGGTATACATGGATATATATATGATACACATTTGATACACGGTGATACACTATGATACAGATGTGATACATTCATGTTTCATCTTCTACTTTGAAATTTTAGTTCAAACTACTTCAAAACTCCACCAAATCATCTCAAAACTGAGATCAAACTTCTTAAGATGTACTCAATCTATTCTAATGACACTCACTCAAAAAAGCAAAGATTTAACTTCTTTTTTTGCTATAAATAGTTAATTGGCTAATATTGATAATATTTAGCTAATATTAATAATATTTAACGAATTGGCCAATTTTTGTAATAAATTATTTATAAATGAGCATAGCCGGTTTTCCCTAACATTGTTAGTGTAATAACGCCAAAGGTTCTAAAATGACTCACATAGCTAGCAAGCGTAATATAGTATATAATTAAGACAAAGAAAGTAACAATATGTAAGTACCTCAATTGAGTTTTGTCTACTGTAATTACTGACAAGCACAGCTAATTAAGCTCTTCCTTATGCGGCAGCGGCACATGAACGCTAGCACAATAATACAATATGATTGGGATATGCATGTGATTTTCTGACTGGAATTATTTATTTATTTTAACAGATAACCAGTCTGATTCCCTGACGCGAACTAGCCGCCACACAGCGTAACAAGTGGGATTCAGGATTCTTAAACAAACTCTTGTACCTATTAGACACTTCAAACTCTATTGAACACTTGAATTACTGCATCACTTCAACTGAAGCGCGTGAATACCAATCGTGCTGACATGGAAAACTGGACAAATTAATAGGGAACACATGTAAAACAACAGAAAAAATAATTAAAACTTAAATAAGGCTTTTAAGATAATATCTCCACCTCGTTCTCTTCTTCACGTTCTTGGGGGAAAGTTCCCTTGAAATTCTTGCTAATCAAGGATATTTGCTACAATGCTTTTTTGATTTTGGAGTTTAATGGTTCTCGTAGAAGTACTTTAAAAAAGAAAGAAAGGAGATAATTGTTTGACCAAAAAGTGTTAAATATTTTTGTTAAATTAATTAAATAAATAATAATGGGTAAATTTTAGTTAAATATAATAAATCCTAGATCCGAGATTGATGGATAGTAATAGTCTAAGAACCGCATTTAAAGTAATTAAATGCCAAAAAGATGTTTAATGATATTGTTATGAATGAACGAGGGATATTGACAAACAATAAATATGATAAATTACAATAAGTGTAAATAGAGAGAATGATTCACCCAAATATATAATGAGGTTGATGATTCTCCCTCTGACAATGATGTAAGATAACCAAACGTGGGAATATCAAATACTTTATCGGATCTAATGTGGGAAAGCTTAGAATCAACAACAAATCGAATCTTGTGTAAAGATCATGTTTGTAGATACTTGAGAATCAACTTTTCTAGAGAGAGCTTATCAAATAGAATATTACATGCCTCTCTTTCTCTCTCTATTCTTTCTTATATGAGACATATCCCTTACCTACTGAAAGTACAAATGCAAGGAATATTCTTCAAAATATTCCCTTAAAATATCTTATTGCTACACTAGCCGTTTTGGCCGATCTGAGTGCTCGACCTTGATATTAGCTGCTTGGCTCGCCAGTTTTGCTTCTTAAGCACGACCTCGGCCTAATTGATTCTTGATTGCCTTATTTCAGGCAATGTCCCCTTGATCAGATTTTGACCCATACAGTTAGTCCCTCCGCCCGTCGGGGTTATTTTTGGACGAGCTCGATGGGCGGACTTCGCCAGTTGCAATTTTGAGAAATCTGAGCACGTTGGCCGAGGAGTGTCCCTTTTATAATGAGGTGATGATGTGGTGTTTCAAGAGCCACATCTGACCGTTGCGTCAGTTCGAAATAACATCATTTCAACAAGTGTCATTATGGCGCATGTTCCCAATACGTTACGTCGTTCCCCGCACCTCTTCCGTTTCGAAATTAATGAGGCAACGTTTGGGCTTTCTCGATCAGGGTGCCCATATTCTTATAAATAGGGATGGGTATTTCTCATTTGAGTTGTTGCATTTCTGGAGCTTTTGAAACCCAAGTTTTTTCTTCTTCTTTAAATTTCCCGCGTCTGTGTTTTCTTCTTCCCTTTAGCGTTTTTCGTCATTGTCACCTTTTTCACTTTTGCATTTCCTTTTCGCAAACAATCAGAAAGATGGTTAGTGCTTCCTCTGATCCTGTAACTTTGGATGTGGACATGCCTCCTCATGAAAAAGGAGCAGCCATGGTAGAAGACGAGAATTTCCCCACCGTGAATGAGATAATTCCATGTTCGGGGAAGGCCAGGTAACACTTCAAGAACCCACCTGAGGGTGAACCTGAACCCGTCGTTTTCGAGATGGATGCGGCGACGATTGCAACATTTAGGGCTAAGTGGCGAATCCCGGCCCACGTTGAACTTTTCCCTGCTGGTAGCGATGTAGTGCAAGTACATCGCTCAGGGTACTGTGCATTTTACGCGTACCCGTTCTTTGTTGGCTATACACTTCCTCTTCCTTCCTTGGTGGAGGATTTTTTCCGCTTTTATAGTGTGTGCCCGGCTTAGCTCTCTCCGTACATATACAAGCTTTTCCTTATGCTTATCAAGTACGCGGAGCTGGCCAACCATGGTATTTCTCTCCGCCATCTGCTTCACCTATTCTCCCCAAGTTTTCATAGGGGCACGATGATTCACATGCGCCATCGCGGAACCAAGGGATTGGTGGTGAAGATGGACGATAAAACTAATCGCCATTTTTGGTCCAATTTCTTCTACATGAAGACAAAGCATGTGGTATCGAACCCCAGCGGATTCCCCGAGGAGTGGAACTTTGCTCGTAAGTGTTTTCTCCCAAATGACTTCGTTGTTTATTTTTGGTGATCTGATCGTTCTCCTTCTCTTTTTGCAGTCGAGAGGGATACTCCTTCATCAGTCGTGGACATTTGCGATTGGGTGAGTCAGATTTTGCCTCACACGATGGGGATTCACGAGTTTGTTGGTAGGTCAGAGGGCTTCAAGGAGGTCGAGGGCTCCTACGCCTACTTTTCACCAGTCAGGTATTTTGGCCAGGCCCGTACTCGTTGTGGCTGCAAGTGAGACTGCTCAGACCGTTGTTATTCCTCGAACCCCGACCTTGCATGGTCCTAGTCGCCAAGTTGCTGCCCCGCTAGCGGAGATTCCGTCTTCTACAGTGTTTCACTTGGTCGATGAGTCGGACCAGGGCGAAGACGAAGAGGCTCCACTGAAAAGGCGAAGGATAGAGGCTGGTGGAGGAGTGATCGAGGAGGAGTCGACGGGGGTAAACCTGAGTTGACCACAACCGAGTTGAGGGGCGGTACGACCTTGGATATAGAGACCATGCCTCCTTTGGACGTGGAGATCACCTCCGTTGAAGAAGGGGAGCGACCAGAAGCGACTATGATCATTTCGAGGAGTAATCCGTCGACGTCGGCACAGGCCACTGTTCCTTCTTCGGATGAGGAGAGGGAGAAGTGTGTGATTGTAGATTATTACGAATCTGGCTCCAATGTCAACCCCAAGGAAGCGAGGATATTTGATTAAGGGCTTACTCGGGTGGAGGTGAGAACGGATGGATCCTCTCGCTCGATCGTTATCCCTTTGGACTGCGATTTGTTGGAGGATATGGTGAGCATGGTCCCCTCCTTTGACCCTCTTTGTTCCGCCGCTGAAAACAGGACCCTTCAGGTGCTCCAAGATTTCGACCTATCACTGGGCATATTTGTGATGGCTTTGCGGGTGAGAGTCTTTCATCATTTCTGCACTTTGCTTATTTTTCCTCTTTTTATCTTTGCTAATTTTCTTATTATTCTCTTTCTCTTTTTTTTAGACTTTTATTTTGGAGATCGAGAGTGCCCGCCGAGAAGAGAGGCGGAAGTTTGTGTTTCAGAAGATGGTTTCGAAGTACATCCGTTATCGTGACAAGTACCGTGAGATGCGTGCCCGATTTAGAGCAGGTGGTAATCTCCAAGCCCTTAGAGACGAATTGGGTTAGAAGGATGAGGAGCTTGTGCGAACTATTGGTATATGCAGTGAGCTCAATGGGTTTATCAAGGCCAAGGACAACGAGCTCGAGGTGAGCAAGGGGGTCGTGGCCGAGTGCGTCAACCTTCAAGTGCAAGTGACGACCTTACGGGTTGAGC